ATGATATTTATCATGAATTTTTGAAGATTTTTTCAAACTGAATCTTTTGCGGTTAACCAGTTTATGAAGAAATATTTGCATGATAATCGCTGTTCAATTAGCTGCCACGAGGCACATCGCCACGCAGGACTCACATCCACCGTGGTAAGACTTGCTATCGACCGTCTGCCACGCGGCGGTTGAGTCACTCAAGTCCTGCACCTGCAGCAGATACCTGGTGGCAGGTACATGGGGTCAAAGATCGTTCTTAAGTAAACAAAAAAATTAGATCAGTACTTACTGCAGTGAGTGACAGAGAGCGCATTTTCTCGTCCGTCCGTGAAGTCACGGAGGGACATGACGAGCCCAATAGCGCCTTTTTTCCATAAATGAGAAAATGCTCTAAAAATGTCAAGAACTTCACTTCTTAGCTAATTAGTGGCTGTTGATGTAGTAGGTGTGATACCAAGTAGATCCATAATAGGACAGTGGCTCGATTGAATAGCTTTCTGTAAACAAATTGTTGATGCCATTTCAGCATTTAGATGCCATTGGTTTCAAACAGCAAAAAAATCATCGATTATTGGCTAACATAAATTTTTGTTCTTAATAACTGAAAATTTGTTGTGATAACTCGAAATAACGAACGCTCTTCTCATGTGAGATCTATTACGCCTGTAGAGCGTACACGAAGATGAAAAACAACTGCACCAGGCTTTGCAAGGCCTCTTGCGAACCGTTCTGGCAATGCAGAATGTAGAATTTCAAAATGCACGTTAGGAGTTGGGACTTATCCATAACATTTGAGTCCTACCCTGTGACGTGAGTGCCCGGATCCAGGACGCCCTCGTCCTCGCTGGCTGACCAGGCCTTCAGTGCCACGGTGCACCTGAGGCCGTCGCAGGACACGGTGAGAGGTGCCCGGAAGCGCGGCAAGTTAAGAGGACGTTTCTCTGGGGGGCGAATATGCCAACAATTACACATTAAACTCAGCGAATAATTAGTAATTTAAAATATGCTGTTCGTTCTCATAAGTAATATAAACATTATACAGTGAAAAACCCGCACGTTGCATTGACCTTTTGAGGGTATATACTGGCATGTATATAGCTCATCCTGGGCACATGTCATCGTTATTATCTGCTACAGCGCGAGGACGAGGCGCTGCATCGTCACAGCAGGCGGAGGCTGAGAGCGTGCTAGACTCCTAGTGCTAGACGTGCTCCTAGTGCTAGACGTGCTCCTAGTGCTAGACGTGTTCCTAGTGCTAGACGTGCTCCTAGTGCTAGACGTGCTCCTAGTGCTAGACGTGCTGCTAGTGCTAGACGTGCTCCTAGTGCTAGACGTGCTCCTAGTGCTAGACGTG